ATGACACTCCTTATAAGACCATTATAAGCAAGTTTTAGTGAAACGGGATGTGCTCCCCACCAAACTCCAGCAAGGCACCTAAGAATGTTGAGGTTACGCTCACATTTCGTAGAAATATAATTACAGTGGGACAGACCTGTTAATTTATTATCTAGCACGATACCTAAAAATTTAATTTCAGTCTTTATAGGAATGTATGAGTTATCATAAAGCACCTTAATTTGTTGCGGTGATCTCATTCTTGAAAACAAAACTACACTACTCTTGGTTACAGAAAGATTAAGACCATTTGCATCTAACCACGTTTTTAACAAATCTAATGAATCAGATAATTTGGCAGAAGCAGATTCTATGGACTTCGCAATAAAATATAATAAAAGATCATCAGCATATTGTAAAATTTTGACGGATTTATCAAGGAATAATTCTAGATCGTATGTGTATATGTTAAATAAGATTGGACTGAGAACAGATCCTTGTGGAAGGCCTTTCCATACTGTTCTAGATAATTTGGTATCTTCATCTAAATCCATATGTATTGTTCTTTCTGATAAAATATTAATAATGAAATTAGAAAGCATTACCGGTAAATTTAGAGCTTGTAATTTAGTTTTTAAAATAGAAATTATTACATTATCATAGGCAGAATTTATATCTAAAAAGGCTGAGAGGATTGACAAATTTTGTGAGAAAGCTATATGAATATCTGAAATAAGAATGCTCACATTATCTAAGGTGCTCTTACCTTTCCTAAAACCAAACTGGTTCGGGGATAGTAAGTTATTACTTTCTAAAAACCATTCTAGACGGTTTTTCACTAAATGTTCAGCTAGCTTTAGTAAGACAGAGGAAAGTGCAACAGGACGGTATGATGATGGTTCAGAAGGTGGTTTATGAGGCTTTAGAAATGGTATAATAATCTGAGACTTCCATGAAGTAGGTATATTTCCCGAAATAATTATGGAGTTAATTATATTTAAAAAGTAAATTAATGTCGCATCGCTAGCATTTTTAAAAAAGGAATACGGTATACCGTCTTCTCCCGGTGCAGAGTCTTTAATAGAAGCTAGAACACCTTTAAGTTCTACTAGAGTAAAAGGAGAGTCAAGTTCGAATAATTCGTCAGAGACGGATAGAGAAATATTGTAAAGGCATTCCGGCACATAACTAGGAGCAAGGCGATCTAAAAATTTATTCGCTAAAGTTAAATCGAGTGCAGAACGTGATGTATGATCACTAAAGGCAGATCTGAATCTTTTAATATTATTCCAAACGACTGATGAATTAACTTCTGGACAGATAGAAGAACAAAATCTTCTCCAGCCTTCTAATTTCTTTTTTTTCAGTAGTTTTCGAGTAGAACGTGAAACTGCGGTGTAAATTTCAAATTTTTCTGGTGTCATGTAATTATTATAATTTTTTTCAGCCTCTTTACGATTTTTAATTGCTTCCGTACAATCTTTGTCCCACCAAGGTGGGGAGGGAATTTTCCCTGAAGCACTATTTTTAACAGGAAATAATAAATCAGCAACCTCCTTCATATTTATCATCAAGTCATTACAACATTGATGTTCATTTCCATGGTAAACAATAGGTAACTCCGATATTTTATTATCTAAATATTGTTTGTAAATATTCCAGTCTACATTTGATAAATTATATTTAAGTCGAGGACCACTCTTTCGACTTGAGGGAATGGAAATTGGAAAAGAAAGAATGAGGGAAAGTGATCGCTTCCGAAGGTAGAGGAATGAGGATACCACGACAGTGAAGAAGCTAAATCAGAAGAACATATTGAAATGTCAGGAGCACTAAACCCTTCATTCGGTGCAGTTCTACGTGTTGGTACATCTGAGTTAATAATACATAAGTTGTAAGTGTCAATTATCGTCAGGAGTTTTCCACCATAAAAATTAGAAGCAGAACTGCCCCACGATTGGTGCTGAGCATTAAAATCGCCCATTACGAGAAAAGGTTTAGGTAAAATTGAAAATAATTGTTCTAGTTGTGAATATATTTGGCATGTAGGATCAGGAATATATAAAGTAACAAAACAGATACCATTTATAATTATAGCAGCTGCATTAATGCCGCTATATACAGGAAGCGAAAAAGAAGAAAAAGGAAGGGAGTTTTTGACCAATATGGCAACACCGCCATATCCGTCAGCTCTATCATCACGGAGACTTGTAAAGCCTGAAATCCTAAAAGGATATCCTGGCTTTAACCAAGTCTCTTGTAGAGCTATTATAAAAGGATTATATTTATTAATCAAATAAAATAAGTCTGATTTCTTGTTTGTTATGCTACGACAGTTCCACTGAATTATTAGGACTTTGTAATCCATTGTGAGAAGTTAATAATTGAGAAAATAAGTTGTTTGTATCATTTTCGATTGCGATAACACTTTAATAAGCATGAGAATAATATCAAAGATGGATTGATTATTGTCAATATTATTTGATGATAATGCACAACCATTAGAGGGAGCAGGAATATTATATTCCTTAACTATGGCTTCATGGGCAGAACGATCATATCCTTGTTGTGCTTTTTGAGGAGAGCGTGGTTTAAGTGTAACTGTTTTTTTATATGATGATTGAATATGTGGTAATGATGTTTTCTCTTTGAGGAAAGAAGATTGAAAATGAGATTTATTGGACGGAGATGATGATGTTAATACATCTGAATATAGTTTAGAAGTGGGAGGATGAAATTTTGATGCTTCAGCATAAGAAACACAACTGTGGGCCATTGTTTCTTTAATGGCTTTCTGACGTGCATATTCAGGACATTTCTTACTAATTGCTGAATGAGAACCATTACACAAGATACAAGAAACATTTTCCTCATCTACTTCACATTTATCACCTGTATGATTTTGCCTGCATTTATAACACCGAGGATTTGAACGACACTGCATCTTGACATGTCCGAACCTACAGCAGTTATAGCATTGGATAGTGGGGTAAATGTACAAATCTACAGTTAATGATGTGTAAAACATAAATACTCTTTTTGGTAATATTTGTCCATCAAAAGTAATAACAATGGTTTCAGTATTAATAAAACTTGGTTGTCCTTCATTAATGGTCTTTTTCTTAATTCTTCTGGTTTTTAGAATTCTCCCACAACCTATAGGTACTGATATATTTTGGATTACTTCCTCTTCTGTCCAATCTTTAGGAATACCCCTCACAATTCCCATACGGGTTACATGGAAAGAAGGTATAAATGCCTTAAAATTATGTGTTTCTAAGTGACTATTATTTAAAAATGCATTTGCATTTTCAAAATTTGAGAAAGAAAGCGATAAACGGTTTCTTCCTATTCTTTTGAGGCTACCATTCACTATATTATTTATCTTATTAGTGTGTAAAAAGCGACCAAATGCAATAGGATGTAATGTAGTGTTATCATTAGGATGTGTTTCATTTTTTTGTACATGAACGACATAAGGAGCTACATCCTCGGCATTGTACAAAGTTCTGCTTAAAGTACTGGGTGGAGAAGCAGGTTTAACAGACTCGGTATTATTTACAACTGGTATTGATACTAGAGTTTGATTCTCATCCTCAATACATTGACAATCACTATCTTTAATTTTAGATTCGAGACCTTTGGTGTGCCTCCTTCGTTTTTTATTGCAATGTTTGCAAATGCGACGTTCGCCACGTACTCGCTTACGTTTAGAACTTGCAACGCTAGAACCATCTGTGTCCATACTAGATTCACCCAATATATCAAAACTATTATTAAATGGGATAGTTATATTTGCAGACACCTGGGGGTTGTCCCCCCAGGGTCTATAGGTGGATCCATAATGTCTAATTAATATAGGTAATTTACTTACCAATATTTACAGCAACAAACACTATTACTACAAAATATACAATTATATATACAATCTAATACACAATATATAAATAAGACTAATCCTTATATAATTAAAAATAAAATTAATTTAAAGAAGATCAAAAAACACTCCCGCTTTTTTAAACGTTTCCCGCGCTTTTTCCAGATCAACGTTTTATACAAGTTGTGGGAATAGTGTTACCATAACATACTTTTATTACTCTTATGAATATATTTGAAAGAATAAGATATTGCCTACATAATCATGTATGCAATGTCTTATTTGTACTGAATACTTAAAATTTTTAAATATAGACAATAAATATGTTTTCCTTTTTTAAATAACTGAAAATGGCCACTATTTTATTTATTAAATGTATATTGATTTATAAGCTATATGTACATTATCTGCTTGTGGTCCCAGCATAAAATAAGTCACCCCTTCTTTACCTGTATGTGTCGTATGAGGCGCCTAATAGAGGACGAGAGATGGACAGCAGCGTCCTTCTTAGATCATTTCTCTTAAAATAATAGAAATGGGATTGTTAGTAATGCGAACTACCAGTCCCATTGCCAGCAATATACTCTATCAAGTCCACCTCCACGTGGTTTCCCCTGGAAACCATCGATGATGGGCTAACTGTACTGACTTGCCTTTTCATTCTCACTTATTATTCCTTACTGGGGCCCCACCAGCGTATACCGTCAGCACAGGCGGAGCACATTACATTATCATCCATTGTAAAAAAGCCTAACTGCGGTTGCCAATTCGCCTGCTAACTATTGGACCCCCCCCCCCCCACAGAGGTACGCTTATGTTCAGCAGTGGACAGTTAAAGGCCGATATGACGATGATGATATAACAGTATGTTCTGTGATATCCATGGTACTGTTTATGGTTATAGGCGACGGATACTGGTTTCTAACAGGTAGGTTGACAGCTTGTTTGCCATATATATAATATAAAATAAAATTATCACCAATTACACGCCGGAGCTTCCTCCGGTTTTTTTTTTTCACAAACGTTTATGTAACGTATATGAAGAAAAAATCTAAATTGGCAACTGGTAACCCTGGTCATTGTTGACATTTTAATATTCCCATAATGGAAAAAAAGGCGGGAAACTCGAATAAGAACAAGCGGGTTTTTTAAATTTTTTTTATTAATTTATTAAAACTATCTCTATCAATTCTTATTATTGAATAAAATATTATATTTTCACTAAATTCAGCGACAGTAATATAATTAGCATTCATGGGGAAGCGCAGTTGTAGAAAAAGGAAAAAAAAAGATGACGATTCAGGTGATGTAGACCAAGAACCTTGTAATGACAAGGATATATATTCGGAAGATACTTCTACTGACTCAGAATCTGAAATTGATAAGGCCGATAAGTATAAACCTTACTACGTCACAGATTATATTAGAAGATATCCCGAGGAATCCCCTGGGACAGAATTTGTTGTCTTTGTAGAATCCTCAGATAGTCAGAAAACCATTGGATCCAGAGACTTGCTCTCACTCTCCTCCTGTTTAAAACGATTTAATAAAGGGGTAACTTATCTTAGATCTATAAATAAATTCAAAATCGGAGTATACTTTCAAAAGCCAGACTTAGCCAATGCTTTTTTAAATAATAAAACTTTTTTAAATGACTACCATTTTAAGGCCAGTATTCCTGCTTCTTCAACAGAAGTTACAGGCGTTATTAGAAATGTACCTACAAATATATCTAATAAAAAAATATATACTATGATATCGAGTTCTAAGAAAATTATTGCTATTAAAAGAATTTTAAGAAAAAATACCTTGACTCATGGATATGTGTTACAGCCAACTCTAACCGTGACAATTACTTTTGCTGCATCTGTATTACCTGAATATCTGGATATTGGAGGTTGGCGCCACAATGTCACTCCATATATACCACCAGTTAAACAATGCTACCGGTGCTTGAGGTATGGACATTTAGCTAAATTCTGTAAGAATTCTGAGCGTTGCAGCATCTGCAAAGGTGAGCATAATTATAAAACTTGTACAACTGGAATGGAAAACGCTATTTGTGTACACTGCAATGGAAATCACACAAGTGTATCACCGCAATGCCCTGTTAAACAAAAGAAAATTGCTGAAAATAGATCTAAATTCAGACCTGCTTCTTTTGGAGATATACTTAGCACTGAAATATTTCCTAAACTGGGTAACAAACCTAAAAAAAATGTAGACCTAATTTCAATTCTAAATTCTGATAACAAGAGTTTATCACTTTTAATAGAAAGCATAATCAAACTTATTTCACTACATAACACAAAGAACACATCTATTAACACTAAAAGTGTTTTGAATGTGTTATATGATACTTTTGGTAATAGACCTATTTCACAAAATTCAATCGAGACCAATTAACTATCATACAGTGGAACGCTCAGAGCCTACTGAGCAATCGACATATTTTTACACAATTTTTAAATGAACATCATATTCACATTGCTCTCATCTCAGAAACTTGGCTAAAACCACATTACAAATTAAAAATTAAAGATTATTGTATAGAACGAAATGATTGTGGTAATAACCACAATGGAGTAGCGATTATTATACATAATAGTATTAGATATAAAAAACTTCACTCTTTTTTCGACAATTCTTTGCAAACTATAGCTATTAGTATTGAAGTTAATAATTCTTGGTATTCAGTTGCCAGTATTTACTGTCCTACCAATAGTACACCTAGTTTTACTAAAGCCAAATTTAAGTTCTTTTTGGAGTCTCTTCCTAAACCCACTATCATATCTGGAGATTTAAATGCACATCATACTATGTGGGGTTGTACCTCCACTAATACAAGAGGTAAAGACATTCTTGATTGTTTAGATGAATGTAATTTGGTACTATTAAATGATAAGCAAGTTACTACTGTTGGCTCTCATATTTGGAGACCCAATGGCCTTGATTTAACTATGGTATCCCCATCCATATCATTAAAATGCGAGTGGTTGGTTCATGATGATCCGTTAGGAAGTTATCACCTGCCGACTTTTACTAAAATAAACACAAAGAACTCTTCATCAACTCCGTCAGGTGAACAACATGCTCCTATAGATGAAGTTAATAAACTTTTGTTAAATCGTATAAACCTACGTCTCGTTAATTGGGATCTTTATTCTGAAACTGTTAATCGATTACTTTTGGATTTCGAGTATGATGTCAATTAACCCTTAAACAATTACAATAGGTTCTGTTATAATTTCTATCTCCAGTAAAATGACAGAAATGGTATCGTAAAAATAGCGACCGATTGCCATTTGACATTTTGCTGTGGAACGTTCCGTTCCACGTAGGAACTTATCAAATAGCGGTGCAAATACTTCAAAGAGGCACAAACATATTGCAGTACCTTGGTGGAATAACAGGTGTGCGACAGCTGTCAATGATAGTAAAGCGGCTTACCTTAGGTTTAAACAAAATCCAACTCTCGATAATTACATAAATTTTAAAAGAGTTCAAGCTGTTAAAAAGTTAGTAATTAAGCAAGTAAGACAACAGGGGTGGCAGGAATTTTGTTCCAAATTTAATAGATTAACACCAATTTCCACTGTTTGGCAAAATATGAGAAAACTAAATTCAAAACATCGTCAAAATCATTTTAAAGATATATCATGGGTCAATGATTTTTTACGCAAATATACTCCTGATTTTGTACACTCACCTTTTGATGACAAACAGTTTAATTCTGTTAATTCATGCCCAAAATTTCTCACTGACCCATTCTCAATTGATGAAATATCCAGTGCAGTAAAATCTAGAAAAGATACAGCTAGTGGCCTTGATCGCTTAACATACAATATGTTTCGATTGCTGAATAAAATAAACCTTACTAAACTCTTACAAATTTTTAACGATTTATGGATGGACTGTATTATCCCACCAGAATGGAAAATGGATTGTTTGATTCCAGTAATTAAACCCGGTAAAGATCCTACAAATTTCGACTCCTATAGACCTATAACATTGACGTCCTGTGCAGGCAAATTATTCGAACAATTAATTAAACAGCGTTTAGAGTTCTTTATTGAAAGTAATAGTATATTACCATCGAATCAATTTGGTTTTCGCCGTGGATATTCAGCGCGCGAAAGTTTAGCGAACTTCTATGTCGACCTTAGTACTGCTTTGAATAACGATGAATATGTTCTATCTGTTTTTTTAGATGTCGTAGGAGCTTTTAACAATGTAAATTTAACAGTTCTATCTTCGATTCTATCCTCATTTCTTCCAATGAAACTTATCGAATGGATTTATAATTTTCTTAGTAATAGAGAAGTGTATGTTAAAGTAAATAGTAAATTAATAGGACCTAGGTTAAGCTCTAAAGGAGTATGTCAAGGTGGTATTTTAAGCCCGCTACTATATATTTTATATATCTATAAACTTAATTCAGTTTTAGGAAACAGTGTGAACAACTTGCAATTTGCCGATGATTTATTAATTTATATAAAAGGAAAGAATATTATTGATATGCAATTAGTGTTAAATGAGTCATTAAAAAGACTTGAGAAATATTTTTCTCTTCTTTCCCTCGATATTAGTTTAACCAAAAGTAAAGTAGTTGTTTTTCATCAAGTTCATAAATATGTTCCATTAATGAATATTATATATAATAATCAAACTCTTCCAACAGACTGTAGCGTTAAATTTCTGGGGGTAATTTTTCATCAAAATTTAAAATGGGATCTATACGTTGATTGCTTAGTAGATCGTGCTTTAAGAGCCACTAATATAATAAGATCTGTAATTGGTCGTAACTGGGGAGCTGATCCTAAAATTATCCTTTTACTTTACAAATCTCTTGTTAGAAGTAATTTTGATTACGCTTTCTTTTGTTATGCCTCAGAACATAAATTAGTAGAAAAACTCGAAAAAATTCAAAATATGAATTTAAGACTTATTTTAGGTGCTATGTATACTTCTCCAATTATCTCAATGCAAGTAGAATGTAATTTGCCTCCTATCCTTCTTCGTTTCGAATACCTAAAACTCAAATTTCTCTTCAAAGTTTTTTCAGTTTCCAATAACCCACTCATACTCAAATTATTAAATTGCCCCATTTCTATGTTTTTGAATAAAACTATTGTCAATGATTTGAATTTACGAGATGAATATAACACCTATAGTAGTAAGATACTTCCTTGTTATAATGGCCTTTATGAGAGTAAGTTCTGTAAGATCAAAATTGTTATACGTAAAGACATAAAAGAAAAGCACGATATGTATGAGACTTTATCAGAATTTATTGACTACAGGCAGATATATACAGATGGTTCCAAAAATGCACTTAGCACTTCAGTGGCTTTTTACGATTTGTCAAATAGATTTGGTCACGGTTATAAAATTTCAACTTTGGCTAGTATTTACACAGCAGAAGCAAAAGCTATATTTTTAGCATTAGAATACATAGAAAAACAGGTACTATATTCGAAATGGATTATAATTACAGATAGTATGAGTGTTCTTATGGCATTAAAAAATAACACATTCATTTCATCATCAAACTACTTAATTCAAGAAATTCGTAATAAATATTATCATCTCTGTACTATATATGGAAAAGATATTATCTTCATCTGGACCCCTTCACATATTGGAGTGTTTGGGAATGAACAAGTAGACACTTTGGCTAAAATTATTAATTCAAGTGCTGCTCGTGTTCAAGATTTACCCCTTTGTTACTCAGATTGTAGTATTGGAATACATAAAATCGTTACAACTAAATGGGAGGAGCATTGGACTCAAATATTACAGACTAAAGGCAAATGGTACCGCAAAATTAATTGGCGTATTGGAAAACCGTGGTTCTGCAAAGGAAAGGACACAAACAGAAAATTTTACACCAATATTTGTAGATTACGAATCGGCCACGGACATTTCAACGAACACCTGCACCGAATGGGCATGATCGCTTCCCCATCATGCACATGGTGTAACTCAAATACAGCCCAATCTCTACATCACCTTTTTTTTGATTGCTCTGAATTTGTCATTCAAAGACACATTATGTTTGACGAACTTAGGATTATCTTCAAAAAACCCGAAAATATTCCGCACTCAATCCCGCTTCTCTTAAGATTTCCTTCTTGTTTCAAAGCTATTTTCACTTATATTACTACAACATTCAAGGAGCTATAAGAATACTTTTATTGAATTGCAAGACAATGATTTTTTATAATTATTTATTTTTAATTTGATAAATCCACTGGTTTAAGAAAACTCAAGAAAAGATATTTATGAAAATGTACTTACCGGATTTGACAAATGAAATATTGAAGATTATGACAATAATTGAAGCGACATTAGAAAAATAAAATTCCAGACAAATTATCTTTTTGAAGACTAGGCAGCATGGTCTCCGACCTTAGCCTGTTCCAAACGGAACAAACGTACTAAAAAAAAAAAAAAATTCCCATAATTCCAAAATAAATTCCATTTTTTTTTCTTATTTATCTTTTCTATTTACACCTCTTAACCATATCAATAAAATGAAATAATATAACAAAGATTGGTGATTGGTGTTAAATTTTTTTGTAATCAACAAGAATACTATAGTACTCACATGAGTTTAGATTTGGAAGAAGCTAACGAAACCCAACAATTAATGCAGAATGAAGGTGAGGAGGAGGAGCAGAAGGCGTTCCAATCGGCGACGTCGCCTGTTACCAGCAATAAGATGTCAAGCGGTGCGACCAGTCTTAGCTCACAACGGAACCCGCAAGTTCAACCTAGTTCAGGAACGAGTTTAAATGAATCCACGAAAGTATCATACATAAACGAAAGACGATTGCAACGAGATTTGATACGTTCAAATTATAATAATAGACCTAAACATATACCTAAAGAGGCACCAGATGTGAAGCATATGGAAAAGGCATTATTGGAATTATTGGACGATTTCCACACAGGAAAATTAAGTGCATTCGGTTCTGGTTGTAGTATGGAGCAAATGATTAATGTCAGAGATCAGCAGGAACGTTTGGCTCGATTACACTTTCGCTTGTGTGCTGATGTAGAGAAGCCAACAGATAACAGTTTTGATAATTCCGCTGCTCGGGACAAGATGGCACAATTGGTTCAAAGTCTTGAACAGTTGTCTGCTTCAATAGAGCATTTACATTCAGATGGAAACCAAACCAATCCTACTAGTAGTCAATGACTAGTTAGCCCTATTTGATAAGGGAAGAAATCTTTATTATTATTGTGGAGATTGTTATTATTTTATAATATTTACAAAATTTATTAATCTTAATTTATATTTAATTGTCCAAATGTGTTAGTCATTTTAATGTTTAGGTATTTCATAATAGCAAGGGTAACATATGTAAAAGCTTAGAGCTTAGCTTAGTTTTTTTTTAGATTAGAGGATTTGAAAAGCTATCATATATATAAATTATATTTGGATTTACTTTATATAATCCACCAAGTTTAGGGGGCTTCTAGCACTAAGGCTATAATATTGACAGACTAGTACATTTACATTGGCATATTATACAATATGAATCCCATTATGGTCTGTGTAGAGCAGGGTTAAAAACCCTGCTCTCAACTGATCTGTTACACTACATTGATGTTTTAGGTAAATGGAAAATCCATATATTGAAATTTACCAGAGATTTGGCATATATCTTAAACCTACAGTTATAATTTTTATACTTATCTACCAATTTTTATTTAATAAATTATTCATCAATGTTTGGTAGTTCCGTCATTAAAATTATTTGTTGTTGTGCATCAAAATAGTTTGGTTAAAGTAAAAATCAAATTAAATGTGATGTTGTATAAAATAAAATAAAAAGGTCATGTTTACTAATTATTCAACTTTATTATAAGTAAATTATATTATTACAAAATATTGTTTTATTTATACTTTATGTAAGATAGCTATAAAAATTACAGAGAAATTAAAAGCTAATTTAATTGGTTGAGTTAGAGAACTAAACTATGTTACACTATCACATCTTTTTCATTAGCTTACTTTATTTTGTCCAACCAACATATTTATAATTAAAATAATGAAAATAACAAAACATATTTTCAAATTTTAATTTTTTGGTAATTATAATGTTCTATAAAAAACAGCCCTTTGTAAATTTTGCCACTTTGGTTCATGTGTATTAAAAATAAGATACATTTAAATAGTAACTCTAAAAAAATACATAATCTAAATAAATAGTCTTTTCAAATAACTAAACTTATGGGATGCAGTTTAGGTTAGGCATGGTTTTAATATCGGCAATCAAAGATTTTTGTTATCACAATCATGACCAATTTTACATATGCAACATGTCATATAGGAATGTGGTAACTGATTAAGTTAATAAGGATTAATGGAATGAAAATTATTAATTACTAACATTTTGCCCCATATTCATTCCTATGTTTCAAAATTCTAATAGATACTTGGTTTGTTAGTATTAGAGACATATATTGGAAAGGTGCACAACTATATAAAACAAAATAGTACAAAAGATGCAATTTTATATCTTCATTTTTTATTAAAATATTCATTATATTTTGAAATAAAGTAGAAGGTAATTGTGATAGATAGAATGTGACTGTACTAACAGATAATAGATAATTACAAAAATAATTGGTGATAACCTACACCTTTCAGCACTTTCCTGCAAGTTGGACATTTTTTGCCACTAGTTTTAATAGCAGCTTTTATACATTCCATGCAGAACACATGCCCACATAATGTTGAAGCTACTGAGTTATTAGCAAGACTATCCATACAAATTGGACAATCACCAATACCCTTAGGTGGAGCATTTGTTTGGGATCTCATAAACGGTGGCAATTGTGTGTGATTTGGTAAAATAGTTGATAATGATTGTGATTTATTTTTGAGTTTCTTATTTTTTCTTAGTCTTCTAAAATCTTGCACACTAGATGTTACAATGTCATTGCTGACAATATTATCCAAATTTATTATTGTGTGTTCATTAGTGTATTGATTTGGTAAATTCAAAATTTCGTTAGTGTTTGGTGTTGGTAATGTATTATCATCTATAGTAATAATATCATTACTCTCATACCCAGAAGAAGATGAAATATTAGTTTCTGTCTTGCTTTTATCAATAATTTTATTAAAATTAAAAGTCTTCAACCAATCATTAAACTTAATCAATAAATGATCTAGGCCAGTTAATTTAATAATGCTATTGGTATTATTTACATTGTCAGTAGCTTTGCCAGAAAAGAAGTCTGTTACTATTTTATAAATTGCTTTATAATTTTTATATCTGTTTGTAATAGATACATTGGAAGCATTTTGTTCATTATCGTTAAGTTGTAAAGACTGTTCTTTTTTTGTAGTATTTGCCATTTTATTATTTGAAATTACACTTTCATTAATTATAACAGTATCATTATTAATTATGGAACTATTTAATTCAGCAATATCAACATTAGTTACAGAATTTAGACTTTCAACTTGAGAGAATCTTTTAATAATGGCTTGATTTTCAGCAATAACATCATCTACATTTATTACTTCTGTGATCTCCTCACAGCTCTGGTTAAAGTCTGAATTATAATAATCAATGTTAATTGAAGATGTTGTACCAACATTTTCACATTTCGTAGTATATGTATTGATAGGTTCTACTATTTCTAAATAATCATCAGAGTCATCTAGTATAATTTCTTCTGATATTATATTTGGTTTTGTTTTCTTCTTTACATCTGGTTCATCATCAAGTATAATAGTCTCACATGGTATTTCAATAGCTTCAACATCATTTACATGGTCATCAGAAATTTTCTCTTGCATTAAACTATCATTAAATCTTTTTTCATTTTGCAGAATGATACTACTATCTTTTGATGTACTTGGTAAGGGAGAGAATGACCGTGGCCAAGATGAATTTGGAAAGTCATATTCTACAGTTTTATTACTATCATCACTATCATTTTCACAGTCTTTTAAATGTGTAGCAATTTCATCACTCTTGGCATTAAAAATAGATTTTGAAATGTTTACAGCTTTTGTTCGTTTTGCTCGCTTTTTAGGACCACCATCATCATAATTTTCAATTCTATAATCATGACCTTTACAAAAGTTTACTGATGGACGGTATGGAATTTTAGGGCGATCTTTACAACCCACAACATAAGGCACATCAGGTTTCTTTCTTTTTTTGGATGAAATAATAGGCGGTGCAGGATCTTGTTCAATAAGATTAATATGATTAGGTAAATTTGTAACAATATCCATTAATTTGCTTGTAATTTTCTGCATTGTTTTAGGAGAAGTTAATTCTATATTTTGTGTGGGAATGGGTTGCGCATTACTGTCATCATCAGAATCATCAAACATTGCCTCGAGTTCTGCTAAAGGTGGCATAAGCTTACCATTTCCACAAATTCTTGTTTCATCGGTCACAGGACGAGAACGCGGCTTTCTTGCCCCACTAGATTTGCTACTAGTAACTTTCAGTTTTTGTATAAGTTGCTTAGATTTTGTGATACTATTTTCATGATAAGTCTTAACCAAAGATTTTTTTTTCTTGGGTGGAACATTTTTCGAATTTATAGTCCCACTATTACTAGGTCGTTTCCTTGATAAGACGTTTTGTTCTTTGGATTTAGGCATATTCAATATAAATACTATATTTTTTAGTTTTTATTGTACACAAAAAGTTTGTAAATTATTTATGCCACAGATTAAAGAGATTATTTCAAAATAGGTTTATACCACAGAGTAATTAAAAGTAATTACTACGTCATAGTCTGTGGTTATATGTACACTAAGAAAGAGAATCACATAGAACGAATGTTAAAAACTGTAAATCATATCGTTTCCTCCTTTCTTCTTAAGCAAATATAATTAGTAAAAAGAGGACGAAAGATACACCATCAGGTGCTTTTTTTCTCAATTCATAGCAGGGTGGTATATATAAAATGTTTGATATGTCAATTATTTGTCAATAAAAATTTTATATTACTAGCTTATATATTCGACATAGTTTATGTAGAAAATATGCAAGCAGGTTATATCTGAATTTAGTAGGGTTACACGGCCTTTAAACATTTTCTATACATTAGCCTGCTATGAATTGACAATTTTATCATTCCTTAGGTATGTTTTTAGTTGAGATCTAAGAACAAGGAATTACATAGAAGGCATGATAAAATAAAAACTGTGAATCATATGGTTGCCTCTTATCTTTTTATGCGAGTATAATTAGTAAAAAGAGGACAAAAGATACAGCATCAGTAGCTATTGTTCTCAATTTATAGAATTCAATTATAATTTGTGTCCGATTGAAACAGATTTTACAGCCGAAATCGAAACCGAAACCGAACTTTCGGCCTCGGTCTCAGTTTCGGCCGAAACCGAAACTTACTGAAACATATTTAAAAATTCTCTTCTATACTAGTGTATTGAAATCTAGTGTATATTTTACACAAGTATTTACACAAACACACAGATAGTTAAAGGGTAATAATAAACACTAATTAAAGCATGTAACAAATATGTCATATATATTTATATGTAAAAACATTTTCAAATTATGACTTACTCTTGGAAGTAAATTAAAAAAAAAAAACAACTTTCAGTTAGACACACACGCAACACAAACACACACACACACACACACACACAAAGTTTCGTCGCGGCTGAAAGTTTCGGCTATTTTTTTGCCGAAACCGAAACTAAGGCCGAAAGTAAAATTTCTAACCGAAACCAAAAGTTCAGTCGGACACTAATTATAATTAACATATCAAACATTTTCTGTCTTTCATCCATTTCTAGTCAACTACGAATCGAGAAATAAAGTAATTGATAGTATATGTCACGTCCTCTTTTTGTCCTTAATAATATTAGCATAAGAAGAAAAGAGGCAACTATATAATTTACTGTTTATATTTTATCATTCCTTTTATGTAATTCCTTGTTATTAGGTTGTATTTAAACTTGGTAGGGTTTTTTTTTTATTTATTTATCTATTGCTTCTTTCGCTATGTTTTAATGCGACAACCTTCATATCTTTGTTATATTGACTATCTTATATACTTAAGGAGATCTTTTTCCGAGTTTAATATAATAATAGTTTATAAAGTATACAATAATAATAAGTGTTGCGAACTCCTTAGTTATTTTAAAGATTGTATTTTTATTGTATTTTTATACTTTTGTTTTTACAATTGTCACTTTGCTCTTTTCGCTGTCGTAGTCTGTCTTCCGTAGTTTTCTTTATTATAGTTATTTTTCTTTAAACCCATTGTTTAATTACTTCAAATACATTAATATACAGTCCATAATATCTTACATATTACATATTAATATCTGTTCTGAGTGCTAAGATCTCTCGTCATGTGTACGAAAATAAGAACCTATCTAACGCTCAGAACGGATGCAGGGGCAGTAGCTACAAATCGAAGGAGTTGCTCCTCATTGATGCTGTTGCTGGTCACGTGGTTAAGTGGAACCAAGGGAATTTCTCCGCTGCCTGGATAGATTATAAAAAGGCGTTCGATTCCGTGCCCCATTCATGGCTCCGGAGGATACTCGAGCTGTACAAGACTGTGTCGCTACAGTTCAAATGTTCTTGGAGGCATGTATGGAGCAGTGGACGACGATCCTAACTATCCAGGGCGAGCGATTGACGGATACCGCTGGCCAGATTGAGATCAAGAGGGGAATATTCCAGGGCGATTGCTTGAGTCCACTTTAGTTTTGCCTGTCCCTGAATCCTCTCAGTACTTTGCTGGAGAATTCGGGGACTGCATTTCAGTATCGGAGAGGAGGTACATGAGTGTCTCACCTTCTGAACATGGATGACTTGAAACTGCTAGCTCCGAGCGCCGAACGCCTGATGGAGCTGCTAAATATCGTAAACGATTATAGCAGCTCTGTTAGGATGGCACTCAGAATAGACAAGTGCACAGTTTTCTATATGCAGAGGGGACGGGTCACTCAAACTGAACTGATCGTTACAGATTCCTCTAATATCAAAACCCTCTCCGAGGCTGAAACATACCGGTATCTGGGCATGTTATAAAACATCGATGTGAGGGCGCGAGGAATTTTTTGCGCGCCTTACAAGATTACTGAAAAGTTCCTTGTTGGGCGCCAATAAAATTCGAGCTTATAATGGCTGGGTCATATCCGTACTCCTTTACACTTTTGGGGTGCTCAGATGGTCTCAAATCAATCTCGAAGTCTTGGATCTGAAAGTTCGCACAACTATGACCCTCCATAGAATGCATCACCCGAAATAGTCAGTCATGAGGCTCTATATCCCGCGGAAGGCTGGTGGTCGAGGTTTATTAAGCGTTAAGACCATGCACAACCGCGAGATTGACAGCCTCTGGACATATTTTCTACAAAAAAGAGATGTTTCTACAAACAAGAATTTGATTCACCCCTCTTTCTCTGGTTAAAGAGGATTGGTAAAAACCCGAAGTCCAGGGTACTTCTTCGCGGGAGGCTGTATGGGAAGAGAAGGAGTTGCACAGAAGGTTCTTCAAAGCCCTTCACGGGCCGTATGTCAACACGAAGACCTCCGTGCACTGGCTACAGTTCGGTGATCTTTTCTGAGAGACCGAGGGTTTTGTCTGTGCAATACAGGATCAGGTGGTTAAGACGAACAAATACCAAAAGCACATTCTGAAGGATAGCACCGAGGACATCTGTCGGGCATGTCGCCATCCCGGAGAGTCACTCAGACATGTGCTTTCGGGTTGTTCAGCTCTTGCCAACACTAAGTACTTGCACAGACATAACCAGGTAGTCAAAATACTCCATCAAGGGCTAGCTCTGAAGTACGGCCTCGCGAATTTGAGGTTGCTATACTATAGGTACGAGCTCTTGTCGGTCCTCGAAAGCGACAGCGTTAGGCTCTACTGGGACCGATCCATTATCACGGACAGGACAGTTCTTGTGAACAAACTTGATATCTCGAGGGTGTTTTTGGTGAATGTTACCATACCGCATGACGACAACCTCGTGAAAGCCGAAACCGAGAAAAAGAGAAAATATCTTGACTTGGCTCACGAGGTGACCGAAATGTGGGGGGTGACGTCGGCCAAAATACTTTCAATCGTTTTGTCGGTGAACGGTCTTATCTCAACTAGTCTGGAACAACATCTCAGACGGTTGGGATTCCGAGGCGGCTCATTCGTGGGAAAAATGCAGAAAGCGGTGCTCTTAGATACTGCCCGCATTGTACGCTGGTTTCTCTCCCTGGGGCCCTGATTCCTGGTCGACTGTGCTTCTGCTGGGGGTAATAAAATAATAATAATAATATTTTTTATTTCGGACTTTTTGGCCCATTAAATATTTATTAGTAACAATATTCTTAAAACTAATGTTAGTAAATTTACACACAACACATACACGTACACACACATATATAATATATTGAATAGTATACCGTTCCAACATATTTTTAAATTTATAACATAGAAATTTGTATTATTTTTAATAGCATGCACAATACATATTTTTTGCAATTGTTAATTATGGCTATTTTGTAGCAATTGTAACGTGAAATGGAATGAATTTTTTTTTAAATCATTACATTAAATAATTTATCATCTAGACTTTAAGTAAAAAAATTATGGATAATATTTTAAAGAATAAAGAATTAATAATGTTTCGTTTTATCGCAAGAGTGATCATAACCTCAAAAATAAATATTTGGTCTTAAACTACAGTAAAACTATGTATTTTAGAGGTCTACCTTAGATGGTTCACGGTTTCTAGATAAACTTCGTTTTGTAATTAGGGTTATTTTGTCAACAATTAGCATCACTGGATCACCGGTATATCGGTATCTGGTAAAGGTTTAGTGATGTCGGATTCGCCGGAATACTAAATCCGATTTTCCGGATTATAATCTCTTATGATAGTCTATATCGCCGTGTCGGTCCCGGCATAGAATGATACACCCCTTCCTTTCCCGTGAGTGTCGTAAGAGGCGACTAAGTGAACTTATGGTTAAGGGATGGTCAACAGCCCTCTTAAAACATCTCTAAAAGCCTAACTGCGGTTGCCGCCTGCCAAGCGTGGCAACTAGTAGCAAAACTCTCCTTATGGGGAAGGTTTATGTTCAGCAGTGAACAATTAATGGTTGAAATTATGATGATGATGGCAGTCTACGGGGGAGGCCTATGTACAGCTGTGGACGGATAATGGCTGAGTTGACGATGATGCTGAATCCTTAGTAAATAACACATAATTATAAAAGTACGTAAACTGTCTAGTTTACATAATATGTAATAAATTAAACTTTTTGATTTTGTTGTGCTTTATATATATATGATGGTATGTTACCTCGTGGGAAGCGATAACGTATATGAAGTGCGATACTCGACTTGAAGTTTGTTGTTGTATTTCTATGCAGCGTTCCAACTTTTCGGTAATTTGTCAAGGAAATCGTTGTAAAGGATTTAGTTAGAATATATGGAATTTACAAGGATGAAGCTTCGGCTTTCGTAGTTTAGTACGGTGGAAAAAGAGGGAAGGAAAGATAAAGTTGTGCAGTCCTTGTGTACTTACTAAAGTTTCACCAGAAGGAGACATTGTACAAAAGTCGTTTGTTTGGGTACCTCTGTCCCATTCGTGTTTCTACCGTGAAGCAGTTGTGTTTACATGGCTGTGTTTCGGTTTGAAGGTTGGGATATGGCAGTGAATTTACCGGGAATAGCACCTAAGTCCTCAGGAATGGCAACGCATGGGC